TTGTAATATATTATATTATAAAATATATTTCTTATTGTGGCTCACAGACAGGAAAGTCCTAAATTTTTGCCTCCAGCTCTAGTTTTGCTTTGGATGCCTGGTCCTCTAAGTCCTCTGCTATGAGGACCTTCTTTCACCTGCTTTTTAGTGACCATTTCTCCAAATGTTTGTTAAATCTGGCCACCACACAAAACAGGTTCATCTTCAAAACATGGAATTTCTATTGCATACCAATCTACTTCCTAGTCTGAAATTTCTCCCATCTCCTTCTACTAGCTTATTTTTTAAAATATTATTTCTCGAAACCAAACTTTCTGCTCTTCCATATTCCTGCTAGGACTGATTTAGATCAATTTTAACTTCCCAGATGGTTTCTCTGTTAGCCTCCAGAGTTACTCTCAAGTCCCGAACTACCCATGGCAGTCTTAAACTTAAAAGTGTGATCTGGTTCCCCCTTGCCTAAACCCATGAGACCCTTCTCAGCTTCACAATTCAGATTTTGTTTTTAGATGTGGAGTGCCTTTAACAGAATTCTTCGCTTCCTTATCTCTCCCTGCCTCCAAATATAGACAGGTCACAGCTTCTTGCCCTGATAGTGACCCTATCCTGGGGATCCACTCCATCCACTTCCCTCAATGAGGCAGCATCCCTGCAGGCACTTCGCATCCCTCTGGTGGCCAGTTAGTCATGGGAAGGCCTTGATTCAAGGACAGAGCCCTGGGATTGGCCTGCACTCTCCGAACAGTCTGGCCAGACTTCTCTCCTCCAAAACTGAAGGGCTCTTCCTGGAAAGTTGCGGGAGCTGCATATGAAAGCTTTTGCAAATAGAAGCAGAAGAAACCAGAGGACAGAAAGAACCCTCCAGGGCCCACCATGTGATCCCCAAGGGAGTAACAAAAGTAGCAGCTTCAGTCCAGCGGCCACTTTCCAGTTCTTAGGCAGTCTGAGTACACAGGCCGAACCTGTTCCTGGGTCCCCTGGATCCTGGGATGGGTACAACCAGCCCATTTGCCTGAGTGACCCTTTAAGGCCTCTTTCTTTGAACCCAAAAGAGCAGAGATAGGAAATTTTACTGTAGTTGACGCATGATTTTGTGCTTTTCACATACAAAATGTGTTACCAGGAATGCTCTCTTTTCCCCTATGTGACACCTACCAACTTATCCTTTTGTAAGTTTCAGCTCCTCAGGTCAGTCCCTCCTCTGCTCCTCTTCAGCTCTTTGCTCACTTCTTGTTATTTTAACACCTACCATTCTGTTTTGTAATTTGTTTAGGTTTCTGTATTTCTTACCGGGCTTTCAGCTTCTTGGGGACAGTGTCACAGCTTGTTTATGTTCCTATCTCCGCAGTATGGGGGCGTGGAACAGATCCTGTCGTTCTGTACTCATAGCTCACCTGGAGCTCAACCACCTCCATGCTCTTAAACTCTGACTCACTTTCTGTGTGCCTGCCTGAGGGTGTTTCAGGCAGGTTAGAAGCACCCCAGGGTTAATGTTCCATGAGTGACCCTCAATCAATGCGAAGGCTGTTGGCGGATAAATACCTCAGCCTCCTAACCATAATGAGGTCCACTGAGGTCTACACAGGGCCTCAGATTGTCCTTTATGAACTTGAGCCCCAGTGGCAGTACAATAGTGGCTTTCTCCCCTTCTGTGCCTCATTTCCTTCTAGGATCACCTCTTAAATAAACTCTTTGCACCCCAATACATATATCTTTCAGGGACTGCTTTTGGATGAGCCCGAACCAAGACAGTGAAATAAAGCACCCACTGCTAAATGGAGAATGAGTGAGCAGCTGAGGCCATGAGTCCTTCATGCCTCTTTCCACTGGCACAGGATGTGAAGAGGCTCCCTCTTCACATCATGTTTCTTTCTTCCTATTAGATGAAGACCCCAAGACTCCAAGCAAGCACATGGGTACCCTCACTTCCCTTGGCCACTGCTTGTTCAAAAGAGCTTGGAGGAAACTCTCCTACCATGTTGGTTGGGGCCACTTCACTTTTACAATTTTCAGCCCTGAAGGTGGCTTCAAAGTTTTTTACTTGCTCCCCCTTTATTTCCTTCAGCAGTGACTATGCTGCTTTATGTTGCTTTTTTGGCAAGATGCACTCTGTCCTTCTCCTTTCTTTCCCACTTTCCTCCCAGTATCTGGCATACACAAGTGAGTGCAGTTAATGAACTTTAACACTTGATAGAAGGGCAGCCTGGATTCTTTAAGGAAAATAAGCCCCATTAAAGTCCCTTGGTAGGGCCCATTAGAGATAGGAGACAGATGCCAGACTTCCAAGTAGAGTGCTCAGGGCAGTACATAATTGGAACATGGCTATTGACTTGGAAAAATGCTCTGGACTGGCCAGAGGAAGAAGGTACCATGGTGACACTGCAACAAAAAAATAGGTAAATTCTGTTATTAATGTCATCTTTATAACTGAGGAAATGGAGGAACAGAGAGGCTAAGTAACTTGCTCAAAATCACATAGTTGGTAAATGGCATCACTGGGGTCTAACTCCAACAATCTGGCTTCAGAGCTCACAAACTTAACTGCTGCTATATGACACTGCATCTAGGGATAAATGACTAACAAGTCAGTACAATATAACCTATCACCTGCATCCTATAGCTAGTATGCTTATAATGAGTATCAGATCGATCACTAATACTTTTCAAACAACAGATCTGCTGTGATTATATATCAATATTAGTGGATATGAAACTAAAGTGAGGGTGTATTATTTTTCAGTTGCTCTGTGGATGCCAATCATAGCTAAAGATGAAGCAATGTAGTACAACAAGCACACGGTAAACTGTGGAAAAAAATATGGCTAATTACCAAAATATGGCTAATTACCCAACAGCCTTACCCTTGGCTTCTGCATCTGAAGATTGTGTGGATAGAGTAGACAGTATTTCAGATCCTTTCCAGTGTTACACTTTTCTTTTCTTTTTTGGACCAGGGATCAAACTCAGGACCTTGAGCTAAGATTTTCTTTTTCTATCTTTGTATAGATAAGAAACAATTGATTTCAAATATGTCTAGGTTATACTGAAAACTCCATGACAGGATTCAGGGAGCACAGCCTTTGTGAGGATTAGTCTATCCTCTGTGCTCTTTAGAACATCAGTAGCAGCATTTTCATAGATGTAGAATCTCTATGGTGACTGTTTGAACTCCTTCAGATTGGCAAACTTTACCTAGAGAGTGCAGGAAGTGGCAGCGGGTTCTAATTTTAGAGTGCGCTTGACTACTGAAAAGAGGACACTCCTTAGTAGCTCTCTCAGGACGGGATTTGGGACTGCTACATATAGAAAGGATTAGCCCATCAGTGCTCAGAGGATCAGCAGCACATAGTCTGCATGGCTTGGTTCCAGGTTCTGTCACATGAGCCCAGATCTGTCCTGTGCTCGCGCAAACTCCACACATTACAGAGCAGAGAGCGGAATGGCTACTACAGGGAACCGGACCCCACCCCGGGGCAGCCGCGCATGCACAGAAGTAAGCTCTACTGAAATGTCCAAGGCAAGAGCGTTTCTAGCCTTTAGACGTTAGAATAAGTGGAGGGTTCAATCTGCCCCTGATAAAACCTCTGGGGTCCACAAAAGTGTTTCACAAGTATGCACATGATGTGCTGGCAAAGTAAAAAGAAGAAAGCAGATACTGACCTTGTTTTACCCCCTCCTCCCCGAATTTATCCCCAAAGACAGAGAGGATGGAGGTTTTCAGGAGACTCCTGGTTTAACTCCTCCCAACCTCCCTCTCCCTTCACACACAGCCTTAGGCCCTGGGACCCTGGCTTCTGGACGGCAGAGGTGGCCCATTCCTGAACGAGGGCCCCTGCAAGACAGAAGCTTCTCCTCGGGTCTTCTTACAGGTCCCTCTATGAGTCTTACTGTAGTAGGAGCTCAATAAACACTGAGTTGATCCGTGTGTGAACGTGAATGTTTCAGGGGGTAACAATCTTTAGTGATCCCATGGAAATTAAGGTTTCCACTTTTCTGCTTGGAGCAACTGTGAAGCCAAGCGAGTAACCTGTGTCAGCTCACACAGCTCTGGGGTTCCTTTCTTTCACTTCGTTTTAGAGGCGTTAATACAAATTTTCTCTCTGGAATTGGCAAAGTGGAGAAGCCTGCTGCTTGCGAGGGTCCACTCCGCAGGAGCGGTGCCCACGCCTAGCGCTCATTTTGGGCGGCGACGAAATGAAAGCTTTTTGTCGTTTATCCAAGAGGTGATCCTCCCAACAACTGTGAGAAAGTTTACATTGTGAAATGCCTCCTATCCCAGGCTAGTTGTAGGGGTCAGGGACGCTGCCAGAGCGGAGTCGAGTTACTGGGGCTCCGGGTCCGCCCCTCGCCGCTCCCCCAGGCAGAGGCCAAGATGCACAGCCCTGGGAACGGGGCTCAACCACCCAGAGAGAGGAGCAATGCAACCAGGCAACCGGCTGCCTCTCCATCCCCACCCTTGGCCCTTCCTCCTCTGCCACGACCACCTCTCTGCTCCTAAGTGCTGACCCATACGGTGCCCCGGCCCTGGGGACACTCACCCTGCCATTCCAGGACCCTCTTGGGGATGGGCGTCTTCGCCTCGAGGTCTGAGCAGCCCCGTGGCGCCCCCAGCAGCAGCAACAGCCCAGGCAGCAGCAGGAGCATCGCTAACCACTGGACTCACTGGACGAGGTGCGGGGCTCCCGCGGGGACCAGAGCCACCCCGGAAGCGCCCTGCCTTACGGGGGAGGTGGGACGGCAGCCCCCTCCGCGATACCCCCGCGCGTCCCGGGCACCCACTCCGCCACCCCGGACACCACGGCATGCACTCCTGGGACTCTGGGCCGGGAGACGGGAAAGTCGCAGCGTTTTCCCCGCCCTTCCCACCCTGCCTTGGGTAAGGAGGAGGAAGAGGGAGTGGACCAGCTGCGTGTCCCAGAAATTCCTGCCTTTGGGGTGGGGAGAGAGGAGGGGTGAGGCAGCCGGGTGCAGGCTCCCTCCCGTGCAGCTTCTCTTTCCTGCTCTCGTCCTTTTCGGAGAGGTCTATGAGGACCAGGGTGAAGGAACTGAGAACCCCGGAGACAGGAAATCTGACATGTGGGTTTGAAGATCTCCGGGTTCTGGTAAACACTGAGGTTTGGCAGCAGACCGTTGGGAGTGAAAGAATCTGCTCCGTGAACCCAAGTGCTTTGAGGGGCTCTGGACTCCTCTGGAACGTGGATCACTAGGACTGTGGAGCCTGCCCTGGCCTCCGTCCTCCTCGCACGGCAGTAACCCGAAAGTTCTTCCATGTTGAACTTCTTTCCGTTTTAAAATAGCCTTCTGCTCCCATCTTCCTTGATTTCCCTTATCCAGCAAAATGCCCCACCTCACTGCTGAGAGAGCCTGGAAAGGCGTTTTAGGCTAGGTTATGCCTTAACCCAACAAAAATTACTCCCTAAACTACTAATAAGTAGGCAAACCCTGACCAGAATGCAGTTTTAATTGCAACCTTTCCAATAACCAGCAGAATACTGTAAGTATCTGATACTTATGGAAACAGGCTACAGTCCTTTCCTAAACAGGGCCTTGATATCAGGCATTAAAACATAAAAGAAGGGATAAGGCAAATGAAAATTTTAAAAAAGGAGAGAAAGAAGGATAGGTGGTGGGGATTTGGGTGACCAATCTGCTTCTCTGTCGGCCTTTTTCAGTAATACTAGTCAGTCCTCAGAAAATGTGCCCCAGAAAGCCCAGCCTCAGAGGAGATGCCCAGCGGGGAGCAGGATTGAGTCTTAGTGAAATGGGGAGGGAGGGAAAGTTATTGCCTTGCAGCCCTGCAGGAACCTCAGGGGCCCTAGGAATGTCTCTCTGAGGACAAAGTGGAGAGCATTTGTCCATAGGACTCTGGCCCCTGTCGATTAAGATCTGTGCTTGTAACCTCCTGGGCACACTTCGGTGGCAGTGATGAGCTTGACAAAGGAGGCAGCAGGTGCATAGCCTAATAAAAGGTCAGGCTCTGTCAGCCTCACCTGCAGGTGTTGGAGGGGCAGAAGAGACAGCTGAGAAAAGCTAGCTGCACAGAAGGCTGAAGAGGTGGGCTGAGAGGATGTGAGAAATCCCAATGTATGCACAGGATCTATAGCATATCATTATTTGTAGAAATCAGCACCCCTGCCAGAGAACATGAGAAAAAGGAATGTTTCTAGCATACTGGACCGTATAGTTATTAATAAAAACTATGTATCCTCTTCTCCTGTGGCCTCAGGACATGTTGTGGAAATATCCCCATAGTGGAAGATTCCGTCCTGAGCAGGCCAGTACCTACAGGGGCAGGCAGGGAGGCACAACCCACATGGTGTAATGAGGTAATAGTGTGACGCTGATTTTAATCTCCATTGACAGTGGGAGCAGTGAGAATGAAGAGGAGATATAACAGAAGGAGCTAGAGTGGCTGTGTAGGGTCAGATGTGTGCAGATGGAGTGATGGGTATCGGGAGAAAGAGGCTATTTGGGGGAGGAAGAAGTTCAGAGAAAAAACAAAGGTTAGAGGGGAAAGTGCTTATATGGGAGAGAGACTGAGGAGGCATGACCCGCTGGAAGGAAGGGCAGCCATGAGGGCATCCTGGGAAATAAGGCCGGTCACTGGGACACTGGGCTACCTCCCGCTGCTGTGGGACCTGGGGGAGCATTGCACCTGCTAAGGCATTCACCTTTATCCTCTTTATAATGAGAGAGGTTTGGGAAACAAAAAGGTTTCCTGGGCCCATGGCAGATAATATTCTGAAGTAGCTGAGTTCTGACTATGAGTAGGATAAGGAGAAGGGAAACAGGTCTTATTTCATCTTTAGAGCAATTAGTGTAATGAAGAAAGGGGAAGACAGCTTCCTTGCCTACCAGCACCACATTTCCTATTATTTCAATATTAGATGACTCAAAAAAGTTCTACTGTTCTCATGTCTTTCTGAAGCATAGCCGCTTTGAAGTGGAAATATGTACTAGAGAGACTTATTAGCCTTTGAGAAAATGATCATTACCTTCATCCTTGTCTTGTATGGCTTTCAGTTTATGAGGCCCTGTAATAGAAGGGTTAAAAGGGGCCATATAGCTTACTAACACATTGCTTAGGCTCCCTTAGCCTTTGTCTCCCTGTAAAATGAAGAAGATGATATTTGTTTGCACACACATGGACATGCACAGGTGTTATTCAGCTTTAGAGGATATATTACCATTTGCAATAACATGTAGGGAACCATAAAACATTATGCTTTGTGAAATAAGCCACATGCAAAAAGAAAAATACTGTAAAAATCTCACTTGTATGCACATTTTTTAAAAAAAGTGAACAGAGTGATTATCAGGTAGAAATAAGGATACGTAGGTCAAAAGGTACAAATCTGATTTGGGACAAGATAAACCTAAAGATTTAAAGTACAGCATAAAGACTACAGATAACATTGTATTATATATTGAAAACTTGCTATGAGAGTAACATTAGGTCTTCTCACTATACACACAGTGGAAGATGAAGATATGTTAATTTGTTTGACTGTAATAATCATGTCACTATGTATGTGTTTATCAAAATATTTTGTTGTGCACATTAAATAAATACAATTGAATAAATTTAAAACTTCCCAAAACATGCAAGTTCTGTATTAATTTTCCAGAGTTATTATAGCAAAATGCCACAAATGGGGTAGCTTCAACAATAGGAATTTATTTTCGGTTTTGTATGCCAGCAGTTCAAAGACAAAGTTGGTTCCTTCTTGAGGATCTGAGGAAGTTTTTATGCCATGCTTCTGCCAGCTTCTGGTGGTTGCTTTAGCAATCCTTGGCATTACTTGGCTTGTAGCTACCTCATTATAATTGGTACCTCTATGGTCACATAGACTTCTCTCTCTCTCTCTCTCTCTCTGTCTTTATTTGGCCTTCTTATAAAGCATTAATCATTGAACTTAGGGCATACAGTAATCCAGTATGATCATCCTCTATGGACATAGACTTCTCTCTCTCTCTCTCTCTCTCTGTCTTTATTTGGCCTTCTTATAAAGCATTAATCATTGAACTTAGGGCATACAGTAATCCAGTATGATCCCATCTTAGCTAATCACATCTGCAAAGTTCTATTTCCAATAAAGTTACATTCTGAGATTCCAGTGGACATGACATTTTGAGGAACACTATTTGATCCAGTGCAGCTCTATGATATAGCCACTCCCACCTAAAATCAAAGCATACCTCCATACTAGATTTGTACATGAATGTTTATAGCTGCTCAATTTTAATAATTCATACAAAATGTGTCCATGAATGTTCATAGCAGCTTTCCTTGTTCTAGTTAATGCTGGAAACAATACAAATGCCCAACAAGAGGTGAGTGAATGATGGTACAGTCATGCATCCCTTAACAATGGGGATATGTCCCGAGAAACGTGTTAGGAAATTTGTCATTGTGTAAATCACGGAATGTACTTGGACTAAGATGACTATGACATCAATAGGTGGTATCTTGTCGATCATCATTGTAAATGTGGTCTGTCATTGACTTTTATGTGGTATGTGACTGTATATCTATACTTTGGAACATTACTCAGCAATAAAAAGAAATGAACTATTGATTTATACACCATGGTTAGACCTCAAAATGAGAGCTCTAAGTGAAAAAACGCTAGACAAAAAGAGGGAAAAGCTTATGATCTTATTTATTTACATTCTCGAAAATGTTAACTGCTATGTGGTGATAGAAAACAGATTAATAGTTACCTGGGAATAGGAATGGGGGTGGGGTTAATGAGAAGAGAGACTTAGCTGAGCCAAGAGAGACTGGACAAATGTTCCAGAAAATGCGAGCAGAGCAAGAGTGCACATTGGTGCTTGAGGAACTCTTGGAGCAGGGACTGAATACTGCATCAGAGGTTCTAAGAGCACTGAGGTTAAACAGGAAAGCTGGTGCCTGGTCCAAAAATCTATTATGAACTTTATGCTAAAGCCAAGAGGAAGGCATTAAGAGGTTCCACTGTAACCAGATTTGTGTTTTACATTTTAGAAGAACGTTCTTTCTGAATAGATTGAAGGTGAGCTGTTTATTAGAATTAGGAGGCTGCGATAGGAGTCTAGATGGAGAGATGGCAGTTGTTTGGACTAGGAAGGAGGCAATGGAAGAAGGGGAGGAGATACACCTTTAATGACACTTAAGAAAAAGCATTGTCAAGTTAATGTTTGGCTAGGTGTATTGGGGACTAAAAGAAGGAGTTGTCAAGAATGACATCCCATTTCATGGCCCACCTTGTGGCTCTAGCTACTGAAAAATGCTTTGGGAGAAGAGGAGGAATTTAAGTTTGGGATACATTGTGGGACATCCAGGTAACTATTTCCAGGGACAGTTACAAATATAGTTATCAAATTTAGAAAAAGGCTGAGAAAATGGAGATAATCTGTGGCTTATAATTAAAGCCATAGGAGTAGATGCAATTGCCCAGGGAGTGCAGGTTGCGGGAGAAAAATCATAGTGAATGAGAACATTTGAAGGACAGCTAAAGAGGCACTGTGAGATAGAGAGGTACAAGGGTGGAGATAGAGTTCAGTATTCTGAAAGTTGGAGGAAGAGTGTTTCAAGAACCATCAGGTGTTTCATCTTTGTGTTTGCTTTTGCCTTTGTACCAAACTGTATATGCCCAATCCTATTAAATTAATTTTTATTCTTTAAGTTTGAGACAGGGTCTTGCTAAATAGCCAAATTTCCCATGCTGGACTTAAACTTGAGCTCCTCCTGCATTGGCTTCCTAGAGTTCTCTGTTTAAAGGCACGTGTCACCTCACCCAGCTGCAAAAGTGATTTTAATGGTTGAGAGTAGAAGACACATCAGCGGTTTGGGGATGACTAGGAGCAGAGACAGTAAAGGTAGA